GGAGGGGAAGTGGGGATAGACCCAAGAGGGCACTATTTCCTTGCTAGGCAGAAGCCGCTGCATTGTCTTCAAGCAAGGAGGGCAGTGCTAGATTTTAACAGTGAGGAGTAGGCCACTTCTGCAGGCCCAGGAAATTGAGGGAAATCTGAGGATTCAAGATTTCAGATACGTCAATCAGGATACCGACCTCAGTGTGGCAGACCTGTCAGGGTTGAGAATTCAATCTTCCTTGGAGCTCTGCTATTCCCATAATTAAGTCCTGGGCTCAATCCTAAGCTTTTTCTGCCATCCGGCTGTAAAGTCTCTTTATATTTTGCCAAGGAGGCCCTCTTGCTATAGAGGTTATTAATCATCCTCAGCTTTTCATTGTCTTTCTTAATGTATTAATGGTCCCCAGCAACACCCATACAAATTCCATAGTCCTTATAATAATTAGTTTCCCCAAATCTCTTAAGCATCTGAGATGCTGCCCCTGCCAGTGTATTCCCTTCCTCCAGTATCCCATCTCAATTAACCTCTGGTGAAAGTTTTTTTTTTTTTTTTTTTTTAAAGATTTAATTTTTTCCTTTTTTTCTCCCCAAAGCCCCCCGGTACATAGTTGTGTATTCTTCGTTGTGGGTTCCTCTAGTCGTGGCATGTGGGACGCTGCCTCAGCGTGGTCCGACGAGCAGTGCCATGTCCGCGCCCAGGACTCGAACCGACGAAACACTGGGCCGCCTGCAGTGGAGCGCGCGAACCTAACCACTCGGCCACGGGGCCAGCCCCCTCTGGTGAAAGTTTTAATAATTGCATGATCACCATATTCCAGGGGCTCATTGTCAGCAGGCCAATGGGAAGTTCAGCTCCAAAACCCCCATTTTAGAGCCTCCTTCCTAGAATCACTCCTGGTTTCACAGGCTGGCTTCCCTGAGAAACACACAGTGAGAGAGACACTGAGATTTTCATGTAGGAGGTTTACTGAGGATTGCTCTCTGGAACAATGACTGTGAGCAGTGAGGAAAGCAGGACTGGGCAGATGGAGAAGTTGAACTACAATGAAGCTGCAACAGAGGCCTCAGCCAATCAGGAGTTCTGGAGCTGGAAAGCTTCTGCAGAGTTGTCCCAAGTGAGGCAAGGGGGTCAGGGTCTTGTATTGCCCACATGGACTAGCACTGGATGTGAGCTGCTCCCAGAAGTGGGTGTAAACTTGGGTGAGACAGCTTCCTTTAGCCAAAGGCAATTCCTGCAGAGGGACCCAACTATAAGCCATCAGAGGCCAACCCTTCTGGCATCTGAGTGCTTTGGTCCCCAGGGAGATCTGGGTGATGCAACACAGCATCTTTAACAGGACCTTTACCACCCATTTGGGGCCACAGGGGAAACAGTACCAGACTATGAGGATAGCAGAGCAAAGGATGGAATGAGCCTGAGTTCTTGATGCTATCACTGAGTTTCCAAATCAATCCTGAGATAGCCTATCTCTAAACTTCTCAAGCAAATAAGATGTCCCTTCAGTTTAAGATACTCTCAGGTATTCAGGTACTTGCAACCAAGAGCATTCGAACTCATGCATACATTATTTCAGTTAATGTTCAATTACTCTGAGGTAGGTATTATTATTATTTGCATTTCAAAATTACAGAACTAAAGTTTATGGTAACTTGCCCAAGGTCATACAGATGGAAATTGGTGGAGCCCAATCTAAAACTTAGCACTCTCTAGATCCAAAATCCATGCTCTTCACCCTTTTATAAAAATCTGCATGGCAGCTGATTGAACTGGGAAGAGAATGTGACCATTGCCCAGATACGAAGGAGAGAGTAGTCTGTGTGTAGCTAAAGATCCAATATGCACCAGAGGAGCTGCCCTCAAGAAACTCACTGTCCCCTGACTCAGTGGAGTGGGTTGAGCGGTGGCTCTCCCCGAATCCTATGTCCATGTCCTAATTGCCAGAATCTGTAAATGTGACCTTATGTGGAAAAAAGATCTTTGTAGATGTCACTAAGTTAAGGATCTTGAGATGAAGAGGACTCTGGGTGGGCCCTAAAATCAATGACAAGTGTCCTTATAAGAGATACACGGGGGGAGGGGGGGGCCGGGGGAAGGAGGCGGGCATGGCTAAGTGGTTAAGTTTGCGTGTTCTGCTTTGGAGGCCTAGGGTTTCACCGGTTTGGATCCTGGGCGCAGACATGGCACCACTCAGGAGTTTTGGAGCTGAAAAGCTTCTGCAGAGTTGTCCCAAGTGAGGCAAGGGGGTCGGGGTCTAGTATCATCATCAGGCCATGCTGAGGCAGCATCCCACATAGCATAACCAGAAGGACCTACAATGTACTAGGATATACAACTGCGTACTGGGGGGGTTTGGGGAGAAGAAGAAGAAGAAAAAAAAACTGATTGGCAACAGATGGTAGCTCAGGTGCCAATCTTGAAAAAAATTTTTAAAAAGTTACACAGATGAATCTGACAGAAGAGGAAGACACAATGCGACAATGGAAGCAGCAACTGGAGTGATGAAGCCACAAGAAGGGAACCCCTGAAGGTACTAGAAACGGAAAGAACAAGAATGGACTCTCCTTTATAGTCTTTGAAGGGAGCACAATCCTGCCAACACCTTCATTTGGGACTTCTGGCCTCCAGAACAATGAGGGAGTAAGTTTCTGTTGTTACCCCAAGCTTGTGGTTGATTTGTTACAGTAGCCCCAGGAAGCTAAGATACCTGGAATTTTTCTCTTTTATTCTAAATATACTTATTTCCCTTTCTCATGTAAAGGGGACCTTTCTTCTAACTTTGGTTGAATATATTCCTTATGTGCTAAATTTCTATTGAAATCCTTTATATTTTAAGGATAAACTACTTCCTTAGCAGATGTGGAGGCACCTGTAGAGATGTGAATGAGCATTTTCCTGGTAAGAAGGTCCATAGCCATTATATTCTCAATAGGGTCTCCATAGGATCCAAATCTTTAAGAATTTCTGAGAAAGAGTCTGGGCAAATGGAAGAATGAGAGGCAGCTGAGCTCTGAGAGAAATGAGAACAAAGACTATGAAAAATACAAAGAGATTAAGTTTCCAATACTGGGAAGCAGGAAGAACCCAGTGTGTCTGGTAGAAGGTTGGAAATCCACGTTTTTAGAAATAAGCTTTGCTTTCCTCGTAAATGCAGGTGAGGAAGCAGAAGTTACAAAGGTTTTGCAAGGCAGACTACAAGAGGCAAAATCCACTCAGCCCCAAGTCTGAAGGAAAGGAAATGCTCTTTCCAGACAGACAGTTAGGAGGTTAGAGGGAAGTTCAGATTTCTGCAGTTAAATCTTGTGGGTGACTGAAAAAGGTAAGTTCTGTTTCAATGACAAATAAGTAAAATGCTGTCTCAATATAATATTTGTAGTATATTAGGGAGCAAAAAGGGAGAAAAAGCAGATTATTAAAAGAAAAGGATGGCATGAACTTAAGTTTGACTCTAAAAAGAAAAAGGAAAGGGACACATTTTCTGAGCCTGTCTCAACAAAAAGTCACAAGATAAAATTTAGAGAATTTGAAACAAGTCTCACCCAGAATCTTGGCTGCCAAACCACAACCTCCAAATGACAGCTGCTCCACTGAGAACTACGTACACTGCCTCACAGGCAGTAAATAGTCCAGAATCAGCTGTATTATTTCTCCATGAAAGTACTTGAGATAGGGCTGGGGTAAGGATAGGGAGAGAAGAGGAGAGAGTGTGGTGAGAGCAGCTCTGCTTCCCAGAAAATTGGAACAGTGTCTGTGTACCCTTCAGTAAGAAAATTACAAGGTGTTTTGATACAAATTATCTCACAGGGGTTGACAGACCAGGCCTGCCTGCTCCTCTGCCAGCGCCAAAAGGGGAAGGCGAAACTAAAGCTTGATTTTCAGCGCATGGTTTATAATTCAAACCACAAGAAAACATCCTTCACAAAACAGGAGACTGTCCTTCAAAATTTCACAGACTCAAGCTTTCTTGCCACAGACCTGGGATATAACATTCAATAGCTCATTTGCAACCTGTTATAATAAATGTTTTAAGAGCTCAGGAGAAATAAAATGCATATATGTATAAAATGAGCCACCATTTCTAAGAATTCTGCTCTAACATTAATTTCTTCTCTGAAGCAAATACACTGTTCCTAAAATTTAAATGACCAAGAGAATATCAAGTAAGAAGGGCCTAATTAAGTTTTTTGTTGTTCTTGTTTGTTTTTTTAGGAAAAATCATGTTAGACTCTAAATTCCTCTTTGAACAGAATTATCAAATCAGCAGAGGAATAAAATGTACTAGCCATTTGGCCATGCAAATTACATGATGTACAGCACACTTTGTAACATGAGTATTCAGTATAGCGCTCTCCTTATCAAATTGTTTCATTCTTCTTAGCTCATGTTCTTTCCAAGCAGGCACTAGCTTGTGAATGGCCTCCAGCATCTTCTAGGGTTTGCTGCCCTCAGACCTCCCAGCTCTCACCTCACCACAAAGTCCAATGATGACTTTCTACTTGGATCTAATAACAAATGAAAAGAAGGCAGGACATTTCATTTAACAAAGACATATAGAAATTTCTATGTGTCAGGCACAAATACTACCATAGCCTTTTATAAATACTAACCCATTTAATCTTCAAAAAACCTGTAAGGTAGATTCTATTTTTGCCTGCATTTTACAGATGAGGAAACCTCTGATATAGCTGGTAAGAGGTAGATCCAGGATTTAAATGAGACTGTGAAATTAAACACTACACCATGCTACCTTAAGTAGTAGTATTACAAAGGTGCATGAAGCAGAATTATCAAATAATACTAAGTGTTCATATGTAAGCATTTTTAGAAAAAATGGAGATGTAAAACAATTTTTTAATAAATGGAGATTTAAAAAAAACAGAAGAAGGTTATCTAGAATATTCATGTGGACATATTTTCATGGGCTTCCAAAATCATAGTTTACTAAACTTTATGATATATACAAAAGAGATATTAATCAATTGATATAAAGATAATCACCACTCACACTTGTATGCATCTTTAAATCATCAATTATATTTATTTCTCTGATTATAAAAGTAATAAATTTTCATGTTTGGAAGATTCAGAAAATTACATGGCAAAAAATAAAAATCATTCATAATCCCCACCATCTAGAAATCATCATTGCTGATATTTTCACATATCTAGTCTTCTTTCTATATGTATAGTCATCCATTTGTGTACTGATTTAGCATTTATTAAACGTGGCTGTTTGCGCCAGAGCGATGCATTATTCAAAGAAAAACAATTTACACTTTTTCTCAGTGCCCCCAATGTGTACCAAATATTCTCTAAGGGCTGTAAAAGGCGTAAAACCAACATATTAAGATTACAAAAGTACTTTTAGAGGAGAAATAAACTCTCAATGATATATAAGCTAGAGCATTCTTGAATATTCAAATATTCAATACAACTGACATCACAATGGTGACATTTGTCAAAATATGATTTTGTCATTACATTTTCTACATTACCCAGAAGGAACGTTTTAGCATCAGCAGGATGAAAACAACGCTTACTTCTTAAACTTGTGCACAAATTAATTGATACGATACCTCCATTAATTCATGAGTATTTTCTTAGTGAATTGATTCTAAAGCTTCTCTAAGATAGGAAGGCACAAAATAACTAAAAAGAAATACTGATTTATGATTGTTCTAATACTGCTCAGCATTTGTGCAGTAAACTGTATCCACAGAGCATGTCATAATTACTAATCACAAAACACCTTGCTGAGCTAGGCGTGGAAGAATTCTTTCAGACAGGAGGAAAATGAACGCTATCAATCAACATACTAGGTTGAAAATTTGCATGGCTACCCACTATGACTGCCAGCATCACAAGTGGCTTAAAGAGTTCCTCAGCTGAGAGTGGACTCCCATTGGTGGCTACCATGTCACAGCCTCGAAGTCAGCTTCCTCTTGACCGTACCGGTAATTCTGCCATATGGATGATCTAATGGTAGCAAGACCTGTAGGAAAACCACATGATAACTTCAGAAGCATTATGCAGGCCTCTCGTTTTTTCTATGAATCAATATTAAATCAACAACAAAAACACCACCTTTCTAAACAGGAAAATGTATGGTCCCTATAGTAAAGTTACTTCAAGCAACTTATTTGGTCTTATTTTTCTGGCAATAGTTTAGAAATGAGGCAATTTTCCAGAAAATTAAAGTTTTTGAAAAATTTTTATCATTGGGATATAAATGTTTCTCACATGCATTACATATCTCTGCTTTTTAAATAGAGTGTATGAATGTAATTTGGCTTTTGCTTGATGACTCACTTTGGACATCAATCATTGTCCAATGCTATAACATCACCATGCCCTCAGGAGCATTTGAGGTCCCCAAGGCTGTTAGCCCAATGCTAAATGGCTTCAGACAGCTGTGCATTCAGAGTTCCTCTGTCTTCCCACTCCGTCATTTGTCACTCCTCTGCTGTTGTCAGTGTGTCTTGTCTCCCTGCTGCTCGTGTGTTGCTTTCACTTTGTACCACCTGCTGGGTGAGGGCCTGAGCATGGCTCCAGCCATCCCCAAAGTGCAGACACGGACACGGGGACAGCTTGTTCAGCCACTCAGGTGCCTTTATGCAGAGCCCTTGCCCAAAGGAACTCAGGTCTTCCTGCCTCCAGGTCCTGACCTGGGCTCCAGGAGGGAGCTTTGAGTCTGACTTCTTAGAGCAAGTGACACTGAGGCCTCAGCCCAGTAGCAAGCCCGCAAGGAGACCTTCTCTCTCTTCTGGGCGTCCTGAGTTAAGCACCCCTCTGGTCATGATGCCTGAGCCTGTTTCTGTCTGGGATCCATTTGTTTCACCTTTCATAGACATGGCCAGGATTACCTTCAGGTCCCTCTTCTGCCCTTTATAAAGTAGTCACTTAAAAAAGGGTTTACAGTGGAATTAATGGCCCTCTGGTACTCAACATCCTTTCTTTTCTCTGAAGTAAAAAGTGCTGTCCCTCCATTCAGCTGAATGAACAGCTAGTGGGATCAAGGCTGCTCTCCTCTACAACTCAGGGCCGTCTATCAGCTGTACCAGGCACCTAGGCGCAACCTTTGTTTCACAATACTGACCGGCAGCCTCCACCTACAGCTGCAGTGGTGCAGAGCCCGATGGAGCCATCGACATAATTTGCAGAATGGAAATGAGGTGCCAAGCCAGAGGAGTGTAACTAATAACGCTCCTGGGGCAGCAGGCCCATAATGTAGGACCTCTGGACATCCTCTCATTGGCCTTTGTCCACCAGAGAATATGATTCCATGGCAGCACAGGCATGTTAATAGGTGAGCCCTCCATATCCTACTCCTCCCCCACATTAAAACAAACCACCAAATGGTGTTTGCAAGTTTTAGAAGCCTGTGGGAGGATGGATCAAATATAGAAAGCCTCCATTCTGAGAGTGGTCCGGGGGTGGGGGTGGGGGGGATGGACACAGTTCTCATCTCCCAGGACTGATCACAACAGGTTGTCTAGTCAGACACACTGAGTTTGAGCTTCTTCCGTGGCTAAAAACAAGTTGGGGTAAGTGCTTTTTCCAAAACAGTTTCCTCTCAAAAATGAACTTCCTCATCTTGCCTTCCGTAATTGCAGTTAGAAACACAAATACTCTTTCATTTTTTTCCTGTGTATTGTATGCTGCTTAAATGGACTACTTAATCAAAAGTTAGAGATGATGGAAGAAAATGAAAATAGAATCTTGTTTTTCTGCTTATCGCCTCATGATGGAAGAATAACAAAGCTGTGACCTTGTGTGGCACCTTTCGGAGAAGTAGCTCTCACAGCTGTTTCCTTGGGCACATTCTGTGCTTTCTTTGTCTTTTACTCTCTGCAACTTCCAACTCACCTCTATAATCATCCACTTCTTGGGTACTCCAGCCTCAGGTATTGAAAGGCCCAGAGTCTAAGAGGGTTCTAATCACTGTGACTATAAATATTCCCAAAGCAACAGCTGTTAAAAGTTTTGGTCAGTGATATTATCATCTCAAGTTGATAAAGAGAGTAGAGGGAGGGGAGAAAATGTGCTTTAAATATTTTTAAAATTCTCTTACCTCATCCTTGTTGATCAGTCCCATTTTGGACATGTCTATGTTAAAGTAGTGAATGTTTGGCAGGCTGATTTCCATATCTTCTATCTGGAATGCACAACAATACGCATCACAGTGGACAACAGTGAATCCCTCTCTCTCGCTCCTCTCTCCATCCCACCCATCCACCAGCCCATTACTCAGGCTCTGCCTCTGTCTCTGAGGTTTCTCTCTACCCTCCTCCACACTCTCTGATGTTCCTCTACTGCTCGACACTGTTCTTTCCTGCTAGTCCTGTTATTACATGGTGGATCCACTCTTCTTTCCTTCATGTACAAAATCTGTTTCTCAGCAAAGTAGGAACTCCGTGGGTCAAAAAACTGGGAGAACTTCAGCATCCAAGTGGCCTCCTGGTGCTGGTCAGTCAACCGCCTAAACGCCTCCTCAGTTCATTCCCTCCTCTCCAGACCTGTCCCTAACATTTGCAGGCCTCAGAATAAGAATTTAATTGAAGGTCCACACATCAAATGTTTAAATATTTAAAAGTTAAGAATGAAGCTAAAAAACTTTTAAGGAAAATATGCTCTATCCTTCTAACTTGACAAATATACCTTCATAACAACCTAGAAGGCCAGGATCTAATTTAAAATTCTCTTACTCCTTGCGCTACCATGCCGGGACATGGTAGCATAGGAAGAGCCAGCCCCCAGCCCCTGGCCCCTGGCGCCTGGCCCATTCCATGTTCTCTCTTGGACTCACAAGGGTGGACACCTCAGCTTGCATGTCAAGTCCCATCTGTACCTCCTGCAAACATCTGCCCCTTTGCCCACTCTCAGGCCTAAGGGTGTACACACTAATGGCATGATGTGCCGTCCAGAGGATGGATCTGGGGAAGAGGCTTGCACAGGTTCTGGAAGTAGCTTCAGGGTTATTTGGGAAGGAAATTCTGGGGTGCAGGTATCCAGAGAATGTTCTAGAAGGGGAAATGTGGGCCCCTGAAGGGTTTATTGCCTTGGCCCCACTGACTCTTCATCCAGTGCAGAGAGGCACAGCCAGAGGAGGGCCTGAAGGGGGCCTCTAAAGTGCTCGGCTATGGAAGGAGTCCCTCTTGCCTAGGTCTAAAGATGGTACTCTTCCTCTCCATTCTATCACGGCCCTAGTTCAGACCCTCCTTGTCAGATTTCTGCAACAGCCTCCTAACAGGTCTCCTTGTCTGTGGTCCATCATTCTTTTAATTTATCATGCTTCTTTCAGTGTGATCTTTTTAGAATGCTACTCTGGTAGCACCACACCTTACTTAAACCCCTCAGTGGCTCCTAAGAGCTTTCAGGCTAAAATACAGACTCTATAAATAAGCCCACAAAGGCCCTCGTGATCTAGTTCTTGCCTCATCTCTAAGCAAATGGAAAGACTTTCACTCCTGGAGCTTCACATATGGCAGACCCTCAACAGTAAATAACTGTTCCATGCTGCCTCCTGTCTCCATACCTACCCTGCTCCCTCATCCTTGAGTGTGAACCCAGATAACCTCTACTTGTCCCTTAGGAGTCAACTCAAACACCTCTCCCTCCAGAAAACCTTGCTGGCTCCATCCCTAGACCTGAGTCAGGTGCCTTCTGCAGTGTTTTCATAATACTCTATTGTATTGTTAGTTTACTCATTTTCTTCCTTCACTGAATAATGAGCTCTTTGAGGGTAGAGACTACACCTAATTTATCTTTATATCCCTCATGTGCCGATAGAGACATAGCCATTCAATAACAGTCATTCAATAACATCAAATGTATGGATGGAATCTGTCTGCATCCATCCTTCATTCTCTGGCTCCCCTGAAACACAGACTCTTGGTCTAATTACCCCTCCTTCAGGGCATGCGAGTGTCCTGAATATGAGGCTTAAATTGTGGCAGGTTGAAGAGACCCAGGGAATTTTCAGCAGAACTGAAGAACTACAGCAGTGGCCTGTGTTTTGAGGGCGGACAGATTTTTCCATTTTTCGCTCTTTTCTCACTTGCTATAACAAGCTTTTGAACAACAACAGATGTCATTTTTCATGTGTCTTCCACTTTCTTATTTTAACTCTCAACTCTTTCTTGAAGCTGACAGGAGACACAACAAGCTCTCTCAGTCCTCACAATGGAAACGACAAAACGTACCTCAGGAACCCGGCTCAGGGAGAGCACCTGGATGTCATAGAGGGTCTTCTGGACGGAGGGTGAGTACTTGCCTTTGTCATAGGGTCCAGCAAATTTCTCTAGGACAATGTCCCGAACAGTGTCCCTAAAACACAGAAAAGAGAACTGAGGTCTCTCATGGGGTGGTCTTTTAGAATGTATTATGAAGCTAAGAAGGACCATTCTATCCCCCAGAAAACAATTTTATTGCTGGTTTTAGAAGAGATTAATATCTTGTAATGCCAACAACAACAACAACAAAAACCTCACTTCCTATTCTCCTACACACACACGTGGGCACCATTCAACAAACATTGAGCACTATCTAAACACTAAGCTATCTTCATAATCTGGCTCAGGATCCAGTGGGCATTCCAGGGTAAATCTCCTTCCATGTTTGAAGAACCTAGGAAAAAGACTCCCAAGTACTCCTAACTCCTTTACTGTTCAGCTTGGCTGCTTCCTTGAGTCGTTATGTATTTAGGGGTTTTACTCTGTGCCAGGCTTTGTGCATGAATACTTCCTTGAATTCTCTCGACTTACCTAGGTAGGTACTATTATGCCCAATTTAGAGACAAGGAATCTGAGCTTAAAAGTTAATTGATCCCCTCTAAGTCCCTCTCTCTAGTATGACTAGAGAGACTAAGTCTCTATGACTAGAGACTAAGTCCCTGACTCTGGTATGCTCAATTTCTGGCCTGCTTCAACATAAATACATTAGGCTGCTGCCCATGGGGAAACACTTGAAATAAAAAAGGAAAAAGATGATTGAGGTGAGGTTCTCTTCAAATATTTTTCAACCTATCACATAATAAAAGGAGCAGAGCAAAACTATCCCAGTGGGAGGAAGCTATGGGGTGGGGAGCAGAGTCCAGCTCAGCACAAGGTAGAATTTTCTAACAAATAGAGCTTCAGCAAAGGAATGAGGTGCTTGGTCAAAAAGCAAACTCTGGAAGTCCAGAGGCGTAATTATTGCTTGTCAAGGATATTATTATTATCATCATCCCTTTACTTTTTTTTTTTTTTTTTTTGGTGAAGCAGATTCGCACTGAGCCAACATCTGTGCCAATCTTCCTCTATTTCTTCTTTCATATGTGGGATGCCTTCACAGCAAGACTGGCGAGTGGAGCAGGTCCACACTGGGGATCCAAACCTGTGAACCGGCAAATCCAGGCCACTGAAGTGGAGTGTGCAGAACTTTAACCACTTGGCCACAGGGCCGGCCCCTACCTTTTTAAGGCATTTATCACTTATAAAGTGTTTCTGTGAATTTCATTTCATTTTGAGTTTAGTATAGGGTGACTAGGCTAAAACTGTCCCAGTTCGTCTGGGACTAAGGAGTTTCCTGGGACATGGAATTTTCAGCATTAAAATTAGGAAAGTCCTTGGTAAACTGGGACGAGTTGGTCACCCTAGTTTAGCACTCTCTGCATCTAGGATGAGGTAGTGAGACCAAACATCATTATCCCCACTTGATACAGTGGTTCTTAAAGTGTGGTCCCTGGTCAAGCAGCACCTGCATCACCTGGGAGTTTATTAGAAATGCAAGTTCTCGGGCCCCACCCTAGACCTACAGAATCAGAACCCCCAGGGTGGGCCCAATGCTCTGCATTTTAACAAGCCCTCCAGGTGATTTTGATACACAACAATGTTTGAGAATTACTGATTTAATCAATTAAAAGCCAGAGGGTCAGGAAATTAGGTGGTCCCCTCAAGGTCATTATAGCTAACAGCATCAGAGACTCAAGTGCAGACCTGCTAACTCAAAGTAAGACAGTGCTCTTCCTGTTACCCATCAGAAGGGATTCTGAACAGTGAGGAGGTTGAATTGAACGGCCTCCACCTTTCCCTTTCAGAGGGAAGACTCCATGAACTCTGGGCCCCTGGGAAGAGGGCGGACTCTATCTGCACAGCACCAGGCCCTAGCGCCTGCTCATACCAGGTAGCGTCAAAGTCCACGTCTCTGCACTGGTGGTAGCGCCACTTGCAGTACACTTGGGTGGCAAAGCACCGGTCCTTCACCTCAGGGAGAGTGGTGAACTGGTCCTTGATGAACCCTTCAAATCCAGACTGGGTCGTTTTCAAGACCTTGAGGTCTTTGATTCCAGAATGAATGACTGGAGGTCCTGTTTTAAGTAAAAAGGTAAGAGGGGATGAGGTCATACCCAAAATAGTGCATTTTTACTGATACCTACTCCTGAGGATCCTGGTCATTAAAATATGGCTTATTATGTTTGTACGAAGAACTACATCATAGCCCATGTTTTCTGTCTCCCTGTCTCCTCTGAAGTCAAAGTGATTAGGACTGTGTACCTTTCCCTCTATCTGGATTCCACAGCTCCCTGCCCTCTCATAACCTAGGAGAACTGAGGGTCAGAGAATAAACCTCCATGTTTTGTTGAAGCCCACAGAAATGAATACCTTTCTTTCAGCTACATACTGGGGTGTCTTCTAGGCCAAATTACCTTCCATGTTTTGAGCTCTGGCTCACTCAACGGGCAATCATGCCAAAATGAGTTAATAGGCTTCTCAAGCGCAGTTCCTCTATCTGATTTTGACCCCCTTTACTGGGGGTTAGTCCTCATGTTGATGGTCTACACTGACCAACGTCTGCAATCTCTACCAGACACTGATGGCATCTCAGTTCTCTTGTGGTTATGAGCTCCATGAAACCAGACAACTTCATGAACAGGTAGCAGCGTGGGCCTGGCTGAGCCTAAACAGAGACTGGGAAGATGAAAGCAGTGACCAGCAAGGTACAGATCTGCCTATGTGCATACCCATAAAGGCTTTTGTTTTTGACTGAACTAAGAAGGGACAAAGTTGGTTCATGGAGACCTGTGTGAGAGAGGGAAGATTTGAACAGAATGGAGGAGATGATATGGCTTTCCTACAGTCCTCTAAATGACCTCATGAGATGAAAGGGGGAGATGGAGGGGTGATAGGCATAATCTGAAGAAGCAGTTTGCTTGTGTGCCAGGTAGTTCTAGCTCAGGGTCCAGGTGACAGGTTGGGCACAGAGTTAGGGAGAGAAAGATTCTCTCTGTCTTTTTCTATGTGTAGCTCCAGGAGTCTGGTGAAGCCTGAAGAGAATATGGCTGCCATGTGACACACTGGGAAGCCCCAGGGTACAATGCTCACTGGAGAGCAGCATTCCTCCCACGGAGCAGTGGCAACTGGCACAGCAAATGCTGGGCAAAGCCAGTGAGGCAGAAGCTGTACCCAGTGGGTGCAAACTTCTCCCTCAGCCCATGTGAGACAGCCCCTCCAGACTGTCAGTAGGTGGGAGAGTTTGGCTAGAGAGGTCCAGCAGTTTTGTAATGAGAGAGCTACAAGACCAGGAAAAATCAGACATTAACATCACCATGGCCTTATTTGTATGCATAAGCTGGTGAGGCCCGACACTGAGGGGGCACTTGGGAACAGACCCCCAATAGCACAGTGCCATGGCAGGATGACGAAGGGCACCTCTTTGTAGTCTCAAAGTTAGTCCCAATTAATATATATCCTTCTTGGCCTGTAGAGTATATAAATCCAGGGCCGAAGGTGTCAGGCATCACTATTTGTACATGGTCTTAGTTGAAGAACAGGAACGTAACTCATGGCCCTCAATTAAAATCCAGGGCAGCTCTTAATAATTCAATGGTTTCTATCACCTGTGTGGTTTCAATTGCTGTGGTTAACTCAGGAGCTGTGGAGTTTCAGAAGCAGGTAAATAATGACTATATTTTGTGGCCAGCCTGGTGGCAAAGTGGTTAAGTTTGCATGCTCTGCTTTGGCTGTCCGGGGTTCACGGGTTCGGATCCCAGGTACAGACCTACATACCACACTGCTCATCAAGCCATGCTGTGGTGGCATCCCACATACAAAACAGAGGAAGACTGGCACAGATGTTAGCTCAGGGACAACTTTCCTCAAGCAAAAAGAGGAAAATTGGCAACAGATGTTAGCTCAGAGAAAATCTGCCTCACCAAAAAAACCAAAAAAATAATGACTATATTTTGATATTTTCCCAGCTACGTCTGTGCACCTACCAGAGACAGAAATGGCCAGTGGTTAGTGGTAGATTTGCTGATTAAATATATGCTAATTAAAAAAGGTGTTCCAGCCAAAGTGTTCTAGGAAGATGTGGTAAAACAGAAAATGATATTTGTTTACCATTCTGAAGTTCTCATTGGAAGGGGTATCTGAAGAAGGATCAAGAGAAAGACACCAGCAATGCCTTAATGCCTTAAGTTGGTTTGGTTTATCAGATTCTAGATGTATAAAGACATGATTCTGCAAAATCAGCATTTCTAAATTCAGTGTAGTGCTGATCCAAGTGAGCCTAACAGAACTGCAGAAGCAATCAACAAGTATCTGTTGAATGAAGGAATGAGAGAGTAAGTGCAATAAGATTGATTCACGTCATGGAATAAATATCTCAGAACTAGTCTCTTTTTCTTCTACACAGTTCTCTTCCATTAATCTTTATCATTTCCCTTCCTGATCACCCCCCACCCCCAACTCTAACATACACTGTGGCAGGGGAAAGGGGGAGGGGATCAACATTAGCTAAGAATGTCCTGACTGTTGAAATGGATTTTGTTGCCACCTTTTTCAGTCTTTATCTCACTTAATCTTCACAAGTCTATTACATGGGTATTTTTACATGGGGGACTTTTAATCATTTGTCCATAGTCACATGCTAGAAACTGGCAGAGGTGGAGTTTGCAGTCAGCACACAATTATGAGATTCTAGCCTTTTCTTTCTTCTTTTTTTTGGACCACTTTCCATCCACACAATGTTTCCTCCTTCCTTTAACTCTCTCTCCCCATTTCTGTACAATAAGTGGCCTTTCCAGGAGACAAGAAAGTTGCTACATCCCATTCCACTTTGAAGGCCTCAGACAGAGCTCTCAGCCTGAAAAATACCATCTCCATTGGAGATTGAAGAATCACTTTTAGAAACGGCCCACATATGTCTTGAAAATTTTTTATTCTTTAAAAATGTCCTATTGGAATACAAAGACCGCTTAAAGTAGTGACTCTTTTAGTCTTTATAAACTAATATTGTAATTTACTTCCAACAGTAATCCCTTCTAGAAAAACATCCTATAAAAATGAAACATAGGTTCGCAATCAGGAGTGGGGTTAGAATAAGTAGCGGGAACCCTTGAAGGGGGATAAAGAGAAGATAAAGGAGAACCAAAGGCAAACGTTACCTATTTCATCCTTTCCTCTATAGCTGGCCTTGATCGCCAGCATCCATGTGAGCCAATCAGACTCTGTCTCCTCCAATGGTCTAAGGATTCCTGAATGCAGTGTTGCATAGTGGTTGTGTCCCCAGCCTTGGGACTCAGATTCCCTGAATTCATTGCCAGCGTGTTTTGTGCCCCACCCCCACCAATTACAAGCACTATTCTCCTGAGAAAATTAGTTAATCTCTCCCTACCTTGATTTTCTCTTCTGTCAAATGGAGATAATGATACCTATTTCTGAGAGTTAATAGACGTCTAAGATAATACACTTAAAGGACTCAGCAGGGTGGCTGCCCCATAGGAAAGGCTCTGTAAAAGTTACTATGAAGATTTTGCCACAATTGACTTTTTCTTATCGAGTTCAACCACCTGTAAACATTTCCTATGTTTCACAAAGGCTCACTGGGTTCTGAGAAGTACTTCCGACATGCTGTCCCGATCCACTTCCAGCCCTGGGATGAGATTTACTGATCTTAGGGGAGTGTCAGTCCTGCTACGCAACTTTGAAATGATCTACTCTCTTGCTAGAATCTGAAAATGGAGAAAGCAGTTGCATCTTCTGATGTGTTTTGGCCTCAGTTTCACACAGAATAAAATGTCTCCTATTCCCAAAGTCAATTAACTATTGCCACAGTTTTGGCAGAACGCAAATCATCTACTCTGGTGCGCTCATCATTCTATGAACAACAACAACAAAACCTATTCTCTTTGTGAAAAAATTTTTCCTTGGCACACATTAGACACTTCAGATGAAATCAGAGAGCTTATTTTATCTTCTCTGTTGGCAGTGCCCCAGCTCTCTGAACACTGGTAAGAACCTGAGCCTTTTAAATTCATGGGCCCATCAACTAAAAATATGATGCCTCAAACACTCTAAAAAAGATTTCAATTTAGACTAACAAGAAGTAATTCAACCAAAAAGACTGTCCTTTTCTAGGTTACTTCCCATGAAACCACTTAATCAGCTTTTTTTTTTTTTTGCCTTTCTGCCATGGTTATGGAATAATGCAAAAGGAAAATTTTCACATTTTACTTTGCTAGAACATAATTTTTTCTAGCTTTTAGTGTCCTCCTACACACTTAACAGATTGTGGTTTATCTCTCAGAGAAGCATACATTTTACCCTTTAGCTCTCTAAGGGAAAGAAACTCACTGCGAATTAATGGAAAATAAGCCCAATTCCTTACCTACGCATCAGGTGTCACAAAGCACAAAGCTTTACTGAGCTAAGAAAAAAATCCTGTCATGAAGAGGATAATTGCTTCCACATTTAACACCTCCAAGAAGGACACAAATAGCTAAAAGGAGGATATTTTAAAACTATATTAAATCATTCTAGGAGAAAACCTCAAACTCATAAAGTGCTAGAAAAAGTGAAAATCAATTAATATCATTTGCTTTTAAGAGTCCATTTAGCTCATGCAGGGAGAGTGAAAGTTCCCTCTGTGCAATTCTGGATGGGGAGAGATGACATCATCCAGATGGAAGGAAGTTTGTACAAGGAGGTGATGATCAAAACGATTTTAAAAGACCTTGTGTTTGCCAAGAACTTATCCTTTGGAGTAACTAAAGAGTGCTTGAGTCTTGATATTAAAAGGACATAAGCAGCCTTCTTGGCAGTGGCCATCTCTGGGTCTCCCACTTTCCCCATCTCATTTCTTCCATCTGCCCAGCTTGACATCTCTTAAATCTGTTCTCCTCTGGGACTTCGATTTCATCAACCCTCTTCCTTAAAACCATCCTCCTACCCCCACTAGACTCCATGTCAATAGATTTTTTTCACTACCAGAACACAGTATCTCTTATTTGAGATCTCTTCTCCATCTTGCTTTCCTTTACTTAGCTATGCTTTAGTTGAATTTTTATAATGTGTCAGATTGGGAGAA